AAAGGGCCTGCCAGTTCTGGGTGGTGCCTCAATACTTTTGCCCTTTCAGTAGTGTAGACCTGCTGGGGGCCTGTCCCCAGTGTATCCTCACTGTACTGCTCAATAAACCTCCTGTGCTGTCTCCTCCCACCCCTTTTTTGGTCTCTAAATTGCCACCGCACCACTGCTTCTAAGGAGAAGCCAGCTGCAGTGAGTGGGATCCACCCAGAGAAGGAGTCACTGTTCCCTATCAGTTCAATCCACTTGCCTCTCTGGGTGAGAAAGAAAAGGCCACCCACTATAATAATGATGGCAGCTTTGGAAATCTTATGGGGCAGTTCTACTTTGTCCTATAAGGTCACCTTTCGTTGGAAGGAATCAACTCAGTGGCAGCGAGCTTTGGGTGCCTGGATTTGCTTATCCAAAAATGACAGTGATAAGCCGGAACCCTCCTCATACAGCTGATAAGCGGTGAGATTAGTAGATCAAACCCACCAGCTGCACAGAAGGTGAAGCAATCCATTCTCAAGACTCACAACCTCCAAACCCTACATACGTTTTCTGTGAGTTGGAATTGACTCAGAAGCAGTGGGTTTGGTGGGCGGGAAAGAGACTCAGTTCCTGACCAATGGGCTTCACACACTGCCGTCCTCCTTCTCGGGAGGCGGAGTCTCGTGTTGTGAACACGTGTCAATGGACCTTCTAAAAGAAGACCAATGAGGAAGAAAGGCCTGGGGAAGTCTGGTGGTCTCCTGAACAGGGAAAAGTTTCCGGGACACGATGGGCTTATCCACGCCGATTGTGGGATGGCCCATGATGGAGCAGCACTTTGTTCCCCTGTGGCCAGACAGGGTCATCATGAGTGGGGCCCAGCTGACATCAGCTGACAGCAACAGCAGCGCCGTATTTCCTACTCAACGACCAATAAAAACAACTAATCCCAGGGTGTTTATCATATCCACCCCCTGCATGATTCCTGCCTGAGATGGAATCAAATCTTCCCCCTGGACAATCCTTTTAGCGCTGGGGCAGCAAAGTCCTCATTAACAAGTGGACAGCCTATGGGCTCCCCCGCCCCTTTTTTTTTCTTAATGACCGTGGAAAGCAGTGCCTGAATCCGGACAAAGGCAGAGACACAAAAACCTCTTCCCACTCTTATCTTTCCAGCCAAGGCCTCCGGTTCCTCTTTGTTTCATGCATGTTGAAACTGAACTGCCGAGAACGCTGAACGCTAGCCTGTGCGGGGGCCATGCAGATTCTAAGTATTAGACAGTAGGTGCGGCCCTGGGGCTGTGCAGGGCATTCAGCTGTGTGCACCCACACAGGCAGGAGAGAATTTAATCCAAAACGAATTTAAAAGGCTGACCCCTTCAAAGAGGCAAACTTGTCATTCAGCTGAAAGCGGAACTGTGGAGACTTTGCCACACCATATGGACAGTTCCCAGCTGACAGGAGGCTCATTTCTGCCCAACAGGAGGCTCATTTCTCCAGTTTGGTTGATTCAAGATTTGCAGGGCAGTCATTTCCAAGTCGACTTAATGCCAGGTAGCAGCCCTGTATTTGTTATGCAGCTTCCTTCCCCCAGCCCCCTTTTTTTGGTGCATAAAAAGGCAAATGCTCCTAAGCTTGGGGAGAGGCAGACGTTACCTTATGCGGTTTGCTCAGTGAAATCCCAACACAAATACCCTCTGCACTTGAAGTAACAGGACCTGCTTCATCTCTCGGCCTTGCTTGGCCTGGAAAGACCCAGGGACCTGCAAACGCGGAAACCGCTGCTGTCTGCTGCATGGTGGGGTCTGGGAAGAAAAGGGTTTCCTTGCCAGGGGGGATAGGAGTAATTATTTTTAAAGGAGGGTGGTGAGCCAAGCAAGCTTGGGAATTTATTATGAATAATCATGGGAGGAGATAAGTTCTTGAGGGATGCCATCACAGTGTACACTAGGATTAATAGCACATCTAAAATTATCCCGAGCTTCGCAAAAGCAGATTTTAAAGCAATGAAGTGATTCATAAAGCTCCAAGTAACCGATGGGAAGCGCCAAACCCTGCTTGTACAAAATATGATCAACGCCACCCCCCCACCCCCCCACACCCTGGACAGTTTATTTTAAAGATGGGGCAGCTTGCTCAATAGTGTAGCTGGACATTGTCATTTTTCACCCCAAGCAAGAGTTAATAAATAATAACTTCCATAAATAACAGGGACATGTATGAATTATAGAGTTGGAAGAGTTGTAACAAACTAACTGAAATGTGGTTCAACTCAGGGAGGAGTCCCTATGTGGTACAAATGAAAGGTTGGCAGTTCAAAGTCCACCAAGCATTGCCTCAGAAGAAATGACGGTTCATTTACCTCCCACAACCCCACCCCTAGTACCAATCAGCCTCTGAAAGTCCTGGGGAGCACAGTTCTGATCTGATGAGTGAGGTCAAACAACTTCATACAAACTGGGTTTTCACTTGCTTATTTTTTAAGTGCATTGAGGCTACCCTCTGTAGGCAAGTATTTGAATGGCAATACTATGTTTACTGGCTACTTCTTTTAGAGCAAATGTTAGCATTTTTTACAAGGCTCAGCTTCCTCATCTGAAAATAGGAGTGATTGTAGGAACCAGTAAAGTGCAATGCTGTAAAGGAAAGCCCCCTGCCCTTGGATGGGCTGGCTGGGCCTCCTGCTGAGCCTGGCTATGGTTCACCCAGGGCTGATCCAGCAACCCTCTGTAGAACGGGAATGATACAATGGTGCCACCGCAGAGGGTGTATGTGAAGTTTCAGTTCGAGACTGCACATGAGGCACCGTGCCTGGATCCTAGCAAGTGCCGGTAGCATTTATTTTATTTATTTATTTTGGTAAAAGACCCTCAGATAGATTGTGAAATGAGTTCTAAGAGCACCAATGGCATGTGAGTTCACTCACCGAGAATGGGCTCATGCAGCTAAGACTCCACAACTCAGGGCAGTCTTGCTTTTTGTATATTTTATCCATTCAGGTTCAACATAAAATGGTTCTTAAAAGTTTATTTTGCTGAAAAAATAGAAAATGTATGCCCCAGATAACTCTCATTAGAAAACAAAACAACGTACCAAGGGAGCATTCCAAAATATGCAGCAGGTGAGCAGCTGCCAGCACCTGTGCTGCCCTTGGTGACCCCGGCACCTGGCTCAGCAGCCTCCGTCTCATGCCCTCTGCAGGTGGGCTCCATCTTAAAGCTTTGCTCAGCCCAGTGAGCAAAGTAATGCTACAGCTTTGAGACTATGGAGAAAATTGATGGGGGAGTCGCAAATACAAACTGGGTGGTTGGAAGTATAAAAAGATGAAGCAAGTGCGTGCCGATCCACGCAGGTGCGTGCGAGTGTTAAAGAAAGACCTCGCGAGGCGCCAGAAACGCCCTGAGCTTGAAGGACCAGTGGCAAAGACGTAGGCAAGGCGGTACTTTCATTTAAGATGCTAAACATGACTCTGTCTGACACGAGCACGAGAGGGAAAACAGGCGGACTGACTGAAGCTGGGGCAGGCCAGGGTAACAACAGGAAAAGAGGAGAAAGAAGATACATACAGTAGTACCAATAATAAATTCACATGAAAATCAGAATAACGTAAGGTAAGAACAGCTATTACTTACTAAGCACGATATTTTACCATATTACTACATCACATGATTTTTTTCATTCAGTTCTTCCAACACTCCTATTTGATAGATAAGAAAAGACAGACAGCGAGGTTAGAGAACTGGCTTCAGATTACACAGCAAGTAGAAGGTAGAAAAGAGGTTAAATCAGAGTGGGTACAGTCATTAGAGAGACAGAACTTCAAACCATCAAACTGAACAACCTTAGAGATGGAGAGAAGGAAAGTAGCAATAAATGTAGTATTAACAGCATCTGCCACTTAACCCTATCACCAGCACTACTCCTGGATGGCGCTCCCTCTTACACACTCTTACACACCTCTCCAGACATAACTTGGAAGAAAGGCCTGATGATCTACTTCCAAAAACACCAGCCACCCAAAAGCCCGTGGAGCACAGTTTTACTCTGATGCACACGGAGTTGTCATGGGTTGGAACTAAGCTGACAATGATTGCTACTGGCATTTGGGGCCGGATTCTGTGACTGTGTGTATAACACGTTCTCATTTAACCTTAGGGACAACTTGGAATGCTGAGTGTCCTTAGCCAATGTGAACAGAAAAAGAAACTTGCCCAAGGTCACACAGCTAGGCAGCTGCCACACAGGTGGCAGCTCAGGGATTTTAAATCAGGTCAAATCCAGCACCAGGACTCTTAATCCTCCTTGCTACATTGTTTCAGTGTAAAGCTGGGGAAGATTATTTTGTTGTGTGCGATAATTAAGTGGTTCCCAATTGTGGGGCCATAGAAGTTCCTGAGATTTGAAAAATAGTTTTAATGGCACATAAATCACATTTTGTACAGTTCAATGTTGCAATCGTAGTAAGGAGGGCTGTGAAAGCATCACCTTAGTCGATTATGTAATATTTTCTTCTTTTCTGTGTTCATTATTGTTGGCTCCCTGTTTCTGCTCCCCCGTCTTCCCTGTCATGGCCCTAGGAAATTATTAATCCACTTATACACAATAATGGGTTGAATACTTCCCTGAAATTAAAAAAAAAAAAAAAAGATTCTCAGGTACTTCTGCCATGGCCTCTGATTCAGTAACCCAGTGTTTGGATCTAAATTTTTCAGAGGTTTCTTGGTGACCTTAGTCTGTACCTTAGTACGATGGCTGGATGGCTGGTCTGTAAGGACAGGATAAGGCTATATGATGATTCTTCAAATAACTACATATCCTAACTCCAAGTCCAGTGTTGGTAGGCATGCCACAAAGGCTTTAGGACATAGAAAATGTTCTTCAGGGGATTGGATTCCAGGCACATTCAACAGCTTTGCTTGGAAAGACCTAAGTAATTGGCCTAAACAGACATTCTACTAGAGAGCAGTTTACTTTTCTTCTAAAAGATACCAGGTAGCATCAAATCAATTTAACAATTACAATTGCCTTACCTAAAACTCTTAATCTCTCAGCGCCCACTACGACTTCATGGTCATCTGCAGAGAAGAGCAATTTCCCAGCGACCGTTTTTACCTCGAATTTTTTCCCATAAGCTTCTACAGCTTTTGGACCTAGAAAGTAGAGACAGAAAACATGAGTCCCGTTGCCTTTGATAACAAAAAGCTTTTCATAGAACTTATACCTCTGAAAAGAAGACGTTAAATTTCAATGGAAGTAAACCGATTTCTAGAAGCCACTTGTGAAAACAGCCTTGTGAGCTTAGTCATATCTTGTGAATCATAGGCTCTTAAGCTATGATTTTAAAATACATCATGTCCTTCCTCTCACCTAGATTTGTAATTTTTTTTTGCTTGAGAATATAAGTACATGGACGCTCACTATCTGTTGTGACAACCCTCATGTCTTACTGTCAGAAAGGGCTTCTTCAAATTCAGCTGAAATCTGCCTCACTCAAAATTGATCCATTACCATATTTGACCACAGGTAAGGTCAATTTCTTCAGTATATTGATGATTTCTTGGCAGAAAAGGTTTTACTGCACTTAATATCCTTAGAAGTTGTTGATTCTGTATGCTTGTAAGAGTTTGTGAAATAGTTCCATTTTCCATGAATGCATTTCAGATACTACCAACAATAATAAGATAAGATGAATTACCCCAAGACAACAGATTGCTGTTTATGGAGGTGGGGCTGTTGTGGCCCATAAGGAAGACAAACTATGACTTCGGAGCACCTGTATGCTAATGAAGAAGACAGAAAGTGATACATTTATTAATAGATGAGAAAATTGCAGAGAATTGTGGGTGCTATCCAAAAATAAAGTTTATGTGTTAGAATTTCTAGACAAGGAAACTAGTCAGTCCACCTGAGCTGGATCTACCTGAAATTCAGGCATCTCTCAAACATAGGCCTGCCTTAAAGTATTAGGATAATTTGAGGATATCATCCGCCTCACAAAGCAGCTCTTGTGTTATAGTCACTTACATGTTAGACTGCTTTACAAGGTTGGTGGTTCAAATCCACCAGGAGAAGGATGAAGCTGCTAATTCCCATAAAGATTTATAGTCTCAGAAACTCCATGGAACAGTTCTCCTCTATGGTATAAGGTTGCCATGTGTTACAATCCACTCCATGGCACTGGGGTATCATTCTGACCAAATATAGCCTAGCTAGATCAGTGTTTTTAATTGCCAATGGGGTGCTGGGTAATTTTTTTTTTTTTTTCTGAAAAGTGGTAGGCTAAGTAAGTTTGAGAACTTATGGTCTAGATATAGTAACGGGGATCTAAGGAAACCGGGATGAAGACATTATGCTCAAGAACACAGCTGTATGTCATCCCTGGCAGATAAACCTAATGCAAGACCCTCAATATAGATCTCGGTTGTTTAAAGGCATTGGGCTGCTATTCTTAAAGTTGACAGTTCAAACCCACCAGCCACTCTGCAGGAGAAAGATGAGACTGTCAGCTCCCATGAAGATGTAGTATCAGGAACCCTAGCTAGGGTATTTGTGAGTCAGAATCAACTCGATGGCAATGATTTCTCTGTGTGTATGTGTGTGTGTGTGTGTGTGTATGAGTGGGAGTAAGAGAGAGAGTGAGAGAAAGAAAGCACATTTAAATTTGCTTAAAATATAATTTCTATTTTACTTTTTAATCCTTTTATTGGGAATTCTTCCAGTTATAACCTTCTAGAGTTCAACCACATCAAGCAGTAATGTACAATTGCTACCATAATCAGTTTCAAAACATTATCTTTCTTCTTGAACTCCTTGATATCAGCTTCCCTTTATTCCCTCCCTCCTCCACCACTCTACACCCCAGGAATCCCTCCTTTTATTTTCCTCTTTTCTTTTATAATAGTTTTTTTTTTAGTCCATATCTTACACATCCAATATATCTATTCACACAATTCTGTTGTTCAATTCCAAAGAGAAGGGTTATAAAGTCATCAGTGCTATCAACTTGTGCATTGGTTTTTATGTGACGGCTAAGATGTATCTGTTTTAATGGTCACACCTAAACCTTCAATAAAAACAATCTCATTTGGGATGGTTATCATTTATTGGTGGGTGGGGGGGGCTGGTAATAAAGAAATAATGAATGACTCACTGGCCCCAGGCGGGTGTCCAGTGAGCTGTTTGCCTAATCAGGATTCATTAGTCACATGACAAAGTTGGGCATGCCTGGAGGACACAAAATTGTGTATGTCTAGGACTTTGCCTTCACGGACATTAGACTTGGTCCCCAGGGAGCCAAGGGGATCTCTATGTAGTATACAGGGGATGTACTCTGAACTCGTGAATGGGGTGATGAGCCACACAGGCAAATACACTAAAGAGACTCTAACCATCAGACGGCACAAACCACGATTAAGTCATTTGCTTTTCAGGACATACAATGAAATTTACCAAGGGCCAGAACTATTTGGGTGGATCAAGCTCAGTAATTGGGAGTTTTTGCCAAAACCCCACAGAGAAACTGCTGGCTCACTGGTGCAGACGGCTTGCTCTTTGTTGATTTCACCTGGGGCTGCCAAACTTCCCTAAGCGTGTTCTGAATCTTAAAAAACAAACAATGACTCTAGAGGGAATCAAATGACAGTCGAGACTGTTCCGGAGAGGTCTCCTGGTGAATTCATTGTTCCTCTCGGGAAGGAGAAAAATCACTATTTGTAACCTGAAACTAATCTTCAATTAATCCCCCTCTGTGTTTTTTAGTCTGGGTGCCTCCTTAATGAATACCCTAAACAGAGAAGAGAATGAGAGTGGCGAATGGAGAAGCGGAGGCCATAAGGATGACTCAGCAGTCTCCCAGTCCTAGCACAGCCAGGAATGGGGAGCTGGAAAGGCCTGATGGTCTTTTACTTTACTGCCTTTCCGCAACATCCCGAATGCTGCCCCAGGCTGCCAAAGCTCCCCTCCCCTTCTCCTCCGTATGGGTCAGTGGGTTCCCTGATCAGACCCACTGTGGGTCGACACATCAGCAGCAGTATGGGTATAATACACAGCTGCAGCCTGTTCTGGGAAGTGAAGTCTCATTTAAAGCACTGTTTCTTGT